CTATCTACCTACCTTGGCTAATCGTTTGATTTATGTGTAAATGATTTGCTATCAAGGGACCATAGCAAAAAAAGAAAAGATTACAGTTTTGTACATTCGGGTCAGGTAAAAAATGTATAATTATCTTAAGATATAGTCATTTACAGGAGTAGAAATAACATTGATGTGTTAATTCGCCAAATTTTAGATTCGCGGAAAAGAAAAAAAATCATCAGTTGCAGTTATTACATTCTCACACCATTAAATTTTTTTGCGATTCTATGACCTTTTTAATGTTAATCAACGGAATTTATCACATTCTTAAGCGAAAAAATTGGTAAAAACTTTTTAGATGCCGGTAGTTCGTAAAAACTTTTTTTTAAAATAAAAATATACCGACTAATATAATAACTACAGTGTTTTTCTCTGTCGTAGTAAATGATACTATTGCACGAGACGTAATATAAAAAATGCGGAAAGTGCACATTCTTACATCTCCTATTTTATGACTATGAGCAATTTCAAGGATATGACGTCCAAGAGTTAACGGTGAAAAATTTATAATTCACTATTACTAAAGTACAATACGCTGTTAATGGGAAACTTTTTCCGGCGCATAAACTGAAAATAGTTTGGAAAATATGACAGCCATTGAAGTTTAAACATATTTGACGGGCACTCGGTGGTAGCCTTGTCGCACGTCTATTGAATGCAGTGGCATTATGTCGATAATAACTTACGGTTGGGTTGATTAGATAATTTCGTCTGCAGCTCGAAAACATTGTGCACGAACAGGTAACTAATGGATATTACTCGCATAAAATAATTGTTTTATGAATATTCATAGTGCGAAGGTTTAACGAGCTATAATAGCGTCGAGACCGAATATTTACAATAGGTCTCCTCGTATGAGTATTCCAGTCCCGTTAAATGTCTGTATTCCACATATGTGCAGCATTACATAAAATACTATACGGTTTTCAATTGGTCGTTGGCTTCCGGTGAATAATATCGGCAAAGATTTACATTGGTGACGTTTATTTAATAAATTGCAGATGACAAAACGTGCATAGGAGGTGTAAGTTCTGCGATTGTTTAACCACTTGGTACTTGTCACAGGCGGTGGTAAAATTAATTTGAAAACCAACATTAAATACCGACAGCTCATATATAATACGTATCAAAGTATCTATTATTTGAACGTCAAGACATTTCCGTTTACCTCATTGTCTATTTGCCGTTCATTCGCCGTGTTCGTATTATAAGTAAAGACTTATTGTAGCACACGCATTTAAACCTCAGACAAAACGACGTCACTTGGTCGGACACAATGGAACTCCGACTTTTTCCAACACACGTGCACGCGCTCTAGATCATCCGGATTTGGAGGAGGACAAAGAAAATGACTAGTGTCGTAGAACTTCATATGATGCTCGTGTTTTTACTGGACCGGTTTCGGGGGTCCACTATATTATTATGATTTTAATGCGGCAATATTAACAAAAACCTGTTGAAAAGTAAAAGCTAGATTACATTGTGTGTAAATGTTTAGTTGCAACCAAATGATAATTGGACACGCGTTCACTACAGATCGAAGTCCAATAAAATTTTGAACCTGGCAAATTTTTTCATCAGCTATAATTACACATAAAAAACCTGTTGAACGCCTCAGAAGAATGCTATAAAATTTGTAATTTTCTACTTAAACGACTAAATGATTTCATACTAGACAACGAAATAACCAACTGCTTTATGTCTTGTGTATAACTAACAAACTGTAACCACAAATACTAAAGTAGTTTTCATAGGTTCAGTCTACAGTAATAATTAAATACAACACTTCATCCTCACCTAAGTATTGAATTTTTTTATTTATATTGACCCTTCGGTTTGTTGTAATAGGCAGCCATCACGTGCAGTATTATTTTCTCCTCGATCAACACAATAATAAAAGTATATAACGTTCGGAGGTATGCTGAATTTGAAGTGTATTCCTCGACATTAAGTTGGGATTACGATGTAATTGAAGAGGGTTAAGTGTCGACCGTCGAGTATTCTTATATAAAGCGTTAATAAATATATGCCCAAATACACCCCTAGTAGTGGGTACTAGCTGTTCCAAACATACATAGAATAAATTCAATTCATCAATTGTCAAGCAATAGTAAGTTTTTGTTTATAAAAAATAACAAATCTCTGAGAAACATACGGTTTTTAAATGATTCATTGACTGGGTTTAAATTTTTTTTTTAATCAAAATCCATTTTGAGTGAATTAATTTGTTAAGTTTCAGATATGATATAAATTCACCACAAATTCTGACTGTAAATGGTTTTTGTTTTGTTTAAGGCGTGAAAAGTAAAAAATAATTTCAACGGGAAACTAGGTACAAAACACAAAAGTAATCGTATTGTAAATTATAAAATAATTATTGCTAGACTGTTCAATTTAAACAAAAGTTCTTATTGCAAAAGTTTTGTCCAATATTAACTTTCTACGAATACCTATGGCTTATCCACCAGGCGTAGGAAATAACTTTTAAGATTCATGCTAAGTTTTATTACAGGTAGTTACTCTAACATTGTCTAGTTTTGCGACAATAGACCATATACCCTCACTTTTGATGTTACAAGAAACAAATCATTGTTGCCAATGTCCTAATCTAAATTTGTACACTATAACAGTTACCGTTAATAGTAATATATCGAAGAATTAATAGTAGAAAAAGGATATTATGAAAAATTATCTGAAAAATCTCAATCTGTGGTGCATAAGCTTATGTTTTAATCGAAAATTATATTTTACTAAAATTACTGGCCTCTCAGATAATTTTTTTTATTAAAAAATAATATTAAAGTATGAAACTTACAGTTTTTCTAAAAAAAAAACATCGAGTTTTAGTCTCGTATTATTATTATCGCGTTAGTTTTAAACAAATTTAAATAAAATAAACTTAGTATTGTACATTTAAACAATTCCGGTATTTGTAAAATAACTATATCCATTGTAAAAAATAGTTTGATTGTATTATATAATCGATAATTATTACGTATGAATCTTCAAAACCTTTTAAAATACTTTGTATTCACACCTGCTATTCCTATAAAACAAACAAAACAGATTTTTATTAGTTATTATAACGCATATTAGAAAAGTAAATGTTTTATTTCTTCGTTTTACGAATAGAGCAAAATAATAAAGGTTTTCAATGTCTGCGTTGCACAAAATGGAAGACATTTTTAACATTTATAGTGAGTACAATCTATGTTATAAATTTCCGTAACGTTTTGGCCTTTACGAAATAGTCGCTAAGCTTTTATTTCACGGTTTATATCTTATCTATGTGAAATACCACTTCCCATGAAAAACCGTCACCTGAGTTTCTTACCGTCAATGTATATGTGTATTTGAAAAATTTATTTAAAAATCTTTTTATATTACCCAATATAAAATGCTTCGAGATTGATCTTTCTCAAAACATTGATTGTTTAACTATGACTAAAGCAATATCTTTAAAAGTATAAAGTTTTTCTTTTCAGAAACTAATAACGTCTAATGTTTTAGGATTTCAAAAAAAAAAAATGGTCCTATTCCCCCCTATTTAGTTTTATTGAAATATAATTGATAGACTCAAAATTATTATTATAACCTTATTAAATATAAATTTTATATTTTTAAATACATTCTAACACAAATTATTATTTGTTTTAACCGAGATTAGGTTTCTTTTTAAGATTTTAACTGAAAGTCGATACATTAGTAAATATAATTTTAACTAAGCTTTATGTCTAAAAATGACGGAAAATGACATGTACAAACAAAGATAGAGATAATGTTAATTACACTTTTTTAGACAACAGTACGTTTTTTATGGTAGGTATTCCTGCAACGATGGTACAATGAAAGGTAAAATATTAGGTTAATCACCCGTTGGCTATTATTGCAGACTTCCTTAACATAAGTTCGAGGTCATGTTTCAACTGGATCATAGAATGCCATTTTGCATGTATAGATGTCCGAATAATTGTGTTGCGCATAAACAACTCTTTGCCAAGTCACGTAGAAAGATCACGGAGTCTAGTGCAGTGTTTCTATTGGAAACTACACTAGGACGATTGACTATGACAACAGTTTTGCACAGACTGTATAGATTACAACCAGTAAACTGTACATTTTCAAAGCTTGTCGCTGACGGTTTGAACTCAGTATGAAATAGCGACGGTTATGATAAAGGTCAACTTTAATGGATCACGATAAATATATACTCCGTTACACATTTATTTTGAAACGTTCAAGCCTAGTAAATTATTACTCATAATATTATTCTTTATTAGTAGTAAAATTAAAATGGAATTTCATTTTTAAAAAGATTTTTTTCTCAAGTATTAGAGGAGAATTGCTCTTAAGAAAAAAAACTATCACCATTTGAAATATTTTTTTGGGTTTATTTTTAAAAATGCTTTTAAAGAAAGCCAAAAAATTAATTAACTTTCGCCTACCGATTTTAGTAGAATACATATAATTATTTTAGTACGGTGTAAAGTTTTTAAAAAGTAAAAGTTAGCCTAGTGTAACCCAAGAGACAACTCGTTTTTTTTGTGGTTTGACGATACAGTTTCAAAACTTACAAGGATATAAGTATATAAATACACTCTCTAATACGAGTACATTTATGTTATTAGTAAAAAAATTCCTTAAAAGTATAAAATTGTTTTTCGTTATAAATAGTATTACATAATAATATATGACATGATTCAATACCTACTTCTTTTATACATAAGTATCATAAAAATCAATAGCTAAAACAGGAAATAAATATTACAAAATCTAATTAATGATGTAATTAAAAATCGAACTTTCCGTTGAAATAAAATTTATAAAATGTTAATTTGTATATAGAATAACTGTTAAATACTTATTCTGTTAATCATAAAGACCTATTGGTAAATTGATAAAATAAGAAGCAATAAATTATGAATTCAATAAATAAGAACATAAATTATAAAGGCGATAAACGATTAATATTGACGAAGTTGTTATGTAGATATAAGTATTCCAAGTATACCTTTATCTAAATTTCTGCCTTTCGTCATTAGATTGTAAGAAATGGGTAAATCACTAACTATAGTAATAATTTAAGAATTTCTCGCTATTAACAATAATCTAAAAATTGTACTCACATAATATAAAAAAATTAAAAAGAAGTATTAAATTATGTTGGACGAGTGATTCAGTTATAGAAATTCTCGTAGAGCACTATTTTTTTTAATTTACATGTATCATTTTTAATATTGAAGAAAATATCTACTCGAATATTTTATTGGTAAATATGATTTGAAATTAGTAGTAATTATTTTACTTAATCAGTTATAGTCATAAATAATTGTATGAATCTACTTATAGGTATATATATTTTTTAATGCGTACAATATATAATTATGACTAGGAACAAGTTGATATTCTTACCAAGGTTTCATATACAGTACTACTAGTGTTATTTTTAATTTAGAAATTAGTTAATGTTTTTATAAAGTTTTCAAGTATTATGATTATTTTTAATAGGTTCATAAAAACAAATTAGAATAAGTTGTGGTTAATATTTAGTTATAATTTTATTAATTAAAAAAAAATTCTATGGCATTAAATTAAAAATACGGAAATCCATGAAAAAACCTTTTATACACTAAAACTTAAAAAAAAAAAAGTTAAATCGATTAAAATACATTGGAGTTTTAATAAATCTTTTATATTTTTAAAAAACTTATCATTTATATATTTTTTATGACGCAATGTTTTCCGTAATAAATAATTATGATAAAATAATTCTTAAAAAAATGTTTATTATTTTTAAAATTTTACGTCTCGAGTTAATTTTTAAACAGAAATTTTTAAAACTTTATACTTTTGACAAACAGTTGCTGCATAGGAGATAAAATCTTTTTATTGCATTTTTAAAAGGTATAACACGATAAATGTCAGTATAAGATGTTGGAAACGTTTCGCTTTTGGGAAATTAAAATTTATGTAAAATATTTTGTTGTCAAATAAATACTTTGATGAATACGTTTAATATCATTAAACGATATTTTATTGTTAACAGTAGACATGGAGGCGCAATATATACTTAGGTAAAACATTAACGCTTAACACATTAACATTATTAAAAGTATATCCACGAGCAAAACATTAGTAAAATTACCGAAATTGCATTTTGAAGAGAATGGAAAACGAAACGTTAAAAGCTATAATAGCTGATTTAATAGCAGTGCCACGAGGGAGACGAGAAAATTAAATATAAATCGTATAGCAAGACAATGAAAATACTTAATAGAAAAAGAACTCCAAGTTTCCGTAAAATTTGCAGTAGATAACGTAGTAAAATACTTGGATCGTAATTATTTAGTGCACGTCTTAAATACAGTTTTTAAACACATATTTCTTAATTACTGGTGCACGTTAACTTCCTTCGGCTGCTATTTGATTTAACGGCCAGTTGTTGGGTGTAAAACTAATTTAGCTCTATGCAATAAACAGTAACTTAATTGAAATATGGGTAATTTTTTTTTTTATATAATAGAAATAAAACAAAATTACTTTTGTTAGACTATTATAAGTTTTGATGGCTCATTATTAAATGTATCTGCCAGCAATCATTTCATGGCTATTAAGTATTTCATTGTCCTCCCGCCATAAACTTTATTAATTTTGCACCAAATTTCATTACATTATTTAAGTTTAACCACTCAAATTAAAATTCATAACATTACCGTGTCACCTACGAAAATATTCGATAAGTATGTCTATTCGATACTTCCTTATAATTATAGTTATGTAAATAAAATGGTTTAACCGGTTTTATTTACGTTCGGTTAACACAGTTGCATATAAAAAATGTCTTAATTAAAAATAACCAAATTTTATTGAACATATTTAATACGAATAAAATAAAATATAACAGTAATTATGTTAGGCGTATTTCAAAAAATCCATTTACGTATACATTAACCACAGAACCAACACCAATACTTTGCTAATATAAAGCCTTAAAAAATTATTATTTTTTCCTCAAATTGAAATCGATATTATTTGGTATGTATGTTATGAACTCCTTGTTGGTCAGCTGATGCACCATTTTTTTATGTTCAAGTCCCAATCCTAATTTTTTGTTTTCCAAATAAACTTTTAAAAACAATCGACTGTGTTCACCTACTTCTGGATTGACCAAGAAATCTTCAAACTTAAAAAAAAAAAAATTATAATGTAAAAAATTACAACTATAAAAATAGTATTATATATAAAAAGAAAAGAAAAAACATGTATCATAAATACGTCTTTATTTATAAAAACAATAAAAAACGTTCTAAGTTTGTTGTAAATTATCTGTAATCAATTCAATTTTGTTTAATAAATTCTATGTAGGTTGTACGTGTAACAAAATTACTAGTAATGTAATGACAGTGTGCATGTATCCTGTCGGGTATTTTAGGTCAATTAATTTATTTTGATTTACCGTTAAATGCTAAATAACTGAAAGACAAAATCTTAATTAAGAGTATCTATAGAATATAGTGGAAAAGTTATATTTTAATTATTTTTTAAACGGATCGTATTCAAAGTACACCGAGTATCATTAGAATTCCACTATCTGAGTGACTAGAATAATTGTCTCTTAATAAATCGACCCCGTCGACAAAAATGTAGTCTTTATTTAACTTTTTTTCACCCTAATAATGCGATAAAAACTTTTCCTTTCCTTTGCTACGGTGGTAATAGCAAAAGTCAGAGAAGATAACAAGCCTAAAAAGGACTTAATTCTATAGATTACTATCGGCCACCGTGAACCGAATTTCAACGTCAGAAAGAGAACTACAAGGGGTTGAGGGTTATTAAAAAAATGTCATGAATCTACGGAGACCGGTCGAGACGATTGTCGAGTTAATGATACAATTTTTTTCCCTCGAAATATTTTAAATCACCTTCATCCATCGTGCTTCCTTTATCTCGTCGTCGTCGATGACTATTTCTTCGGTCAGAGGTCGCAAGTTCGTGACAAAGTACAGATCAGCACAGTCAAAACTACCACTTAGAACGTGTCTGAACGCCACCAGAGATTCAAATTCACATTGAACACCCGTTTCTTCCAACACTTCCCTAATTGCAGCATTACCTATATTTTCTCCTGTCCGAATACAACGGAAAAACATATTATTAATATCAATATAAATTTATTATGACTGAAAACATTTGTAACAATAATAATTTTTCAAGTAACTTTTTTTAGTGGCAATAAATTTTGTTTAACAATATGAATAAAACTAACACTTTTATAATGTTTATTCGAATAATAAACCATTAGTACTTCATCAGAAATCGATTCAAAATATATTTATTTCATAATTAAGTTTGAATATTGGTACATTTAAAGATTCAAGCATGTAGAAATTAATTATTTATGCAATACGTATAGTAAAAATTGATCACTTGTGTCTAATCATTCAAAATTAAAACTATATTAAGAATATTATTAATTTAAAACTAAGAAATATTTAACTCATAAGGCCACAAAAAAATTACTAAAAATCAAGCATACGTATTTCGCAAACAATGTTACCATTATCAACGCTAATCACAAACATGTTTGTGTTTCCCAAATACGTATCCGCGATTTTTTAGTCATTTTTTTAGTTTTAATTTTATAATATGTTTAATGTATTTTTAATTTTTACACTATATATTTTATTAAAAATTAAGAAAATAATTTTTTAATAATATAAACAATATAAATCTCATAAAAAAAAAAAAAAAATTTTAAAGTAATTGTCGTATTATTTATAAAGAAAATAAGTATATGTTTTTATACAATTAAAGAAGGACCTAGGAATTATCTTTGTTTATAAAAGTGTATTTAAATAAACACATCCCTAACCAATATAGGAACTTATAAAAAATACTTTTAACATTAAAGAACATCTAATTCCCATTTATTTATTATTGTTCGTTTTTATTTAGCGAAAAAATGTATAAAATGTCATAATAGAAAATATAATGAAGATATTTATAAATGTGACTGGCGTAAATCATGCAAAAACAGTAAAAATCTGAATTTGTGATTACTAAAAAATAGTAATTTGTGAACTAGATATTCGGTATGATTTTAATTTTTATAACACATGTACATTTCACATGATTTACAGTAAAATATGATTAAGTGTACGATTTATAAATAATTGAAATTCAAAATAATGGGCTAGGTTGTTGTTAGCGTTACAAGTTACTAAAATGTAATCTAAACATGCATGTATTCCAATTTTGATATATTATTTCTTGTCAAACTGTACGTGGCTCATAATTACACAATCGCAATGTTGTCCAACACATCAAATTGTTGCTATTTGCGTGTCAGGTAAAAACTTGGTAAACTGAAAACACTATACAAGTAATGGGAATTCGGATTTCTATGTAAATTGAAAACGAATGAATACCATGAAAAAACTACGGGTCGCATCCGCGTCCAGCGTTTCAAATGAAAAACGGAAAACATTATAATACATTTCTCTTAATGGAAAACAGTAATAATAATAAAAGAATCACAGATCATTATATTGATTACAAGTTGCTGTATGCATTGTTTTACTCACACCCCTCGAGGTGATAACTGGTGAAAATGATGAGAACAAATTTTATGGACAGACACTGAGAATTAATAACCGTGTAATGTTTTATCTGTAATATTAAGTGTTGGTAATTTCACTTGGAATTGATCAATTAACGTGACAACCGATGCCTGAACTTATTGACCCAAATAATCTCTGTACAGTTTGGGTGTTTTTTAAATAATATGGATTATAACAAAAGAGTATCAATTATAAAACTGCACGTGATGCACGTTCGATCATTCGTTTTCTCCTATTACGAAATACCTATGCATCACTGAACCGTGATCGAACAAAACACGGATTGTGCAAACAACTAGTCAAAAAACATAACGAAACTGCAATTGCTATATATATAAATAATAATCCAATAATGTAAATGTATAAAGAAATACTATACCAGGGTTTACGTAGCCACCGGGCAGCTTCCAAAGTGGTAGTCCATGGTCTTTGACAACTAACAGATGGTCGTCGCGAATCACTAGGCCACCCGCACCCGTGTAAGTGTGGGGAGCGCCTACTCCAACGACGCCCTCCTTCTTATTATTTCCTTTCAGCCTTTTGTACATCCACAGCTCGTTCCCATCCGGGGAAGTTCGATGAAATCGGAAATCGTTCTGCGACCATTTGAAAGAACAATAGGCATTATTATTACATGTAGTTGTGTTATGACATTGAATAAAACATAATAAAAAACGTATACGCGTTGCACAAAACGACTGAGAAATTCATAAAGCCCCCCCAAATGCAATAAGAATTCACATTAAGATATATAATAATGTGTGTATAAATGGAAAAAAGTGCACCCGTCAAAACAGAAAATCCTAAGTAGGACGTGTATGTAAACCATAAAGAATTACTTTTCGGTTTGGTAGCTAGCATGACATATTATTTCATATAAAAAATATCGGTTAAATTGTAATATATACATCAAAATATATGAAATATATACATTTATCATGAGAAAAATTATAGAAAAAACCTGCACTACGCACATGTCACATGCTGTAAGTTTCCAAGTTTGAAAAATATAAGGCATACATAATGGAAAAATAAACAAAAGGCATAAAAACGAATTTTATATATAGATTTTAATAAGAAATATGAGCACCTAACGCATAACGTATTTTCGAACTAGCTTAAACACTTTGTTAAAAAAAAAAAAAAAAACATTAAAACGGAAAAAACATAGAATTTAAGTATTTTAGAGAGGTTTTAGTAGGCTTTTAAACATTACACGTTGTATACGTCCAATTGTTTCACATAAACCTGACATTTTCTACGAAAGCTCGTTCTCCAATTTAATAATCCATACAACAGACAATGTTTACCCCATAAATGTGTACGTATAATGTATAAAAAAACAATATTATGTAACACTGAAAATAACTCATAGGTCGTTTATAATATTACATAATTTTTTTCTACGAGGAAAACGATTAATGCGTATGGACTTAATAGCGTTTTGAACATTAGGGCACCCAGTAATTGCAAATATTGTCTGTGTGTAGAGGGGGCAGACTCAACTAGTATAATTGAATAAATGACCACCATTTTTTAATTGGTTTAAAAAATTATAATAATGCATAGACTTATCAGAGTAGCTAAGGGGGTTAGGTCACAAATATGTAGAAAATAACGTATACAATATAATGAAAATATTTTTTAGTGTGAGAAAAAATGTATTTTTATATTATATTTATATTTATATTATTTGTTATATATTTTTATATTTTTATTATATTGAAAAAAGTATAATTAAAATAGTATCAATTGTAATCATCTTTTCACGATCGCATTTACTATGAAAATCCTTGAAAATACATTTTACAAAAATTAATTGTATTTTTTTTTGTTATAGTTAATTATAAAAACAAACTTATATTGAAAAATATTTTTCGTTCATAGATGAAAATATGTAAAGATAAAGGCGACTTGTTCCTCCACTTCTCGAATTAGCTCCCTAAAAAAGTAGAAAATAATATTTATTTTTAGTATAATTTTTAGGATGAGGGGAAATACAATTAGCATCATCTAAAATTTTATTCAGGTAGCGCCTATGTTGTCGTCACTGAGAATTTGCTTCTCCTAAAAAATTGCTGAAAAATCCGACTCTGTCCTTATGTACAAAACGAACAAGTGTTGTCGTATCAAGAGGAGTACTTATGTTCGATTTTGTACTCTTTTGCAATGATAAAAGTTTGGGCGTATTTCGCAACCGGCGAGCTTTTTACAAAAAGATTTAATACGTCGTCATGGTTTTCTACATGTACTTGTAAATACTCACTTGGGCCAATTCAGGAATCCATTGCGCATGTTGACGATCCACCCGGAACCACGCTAAGTGCACCTGTTCATCCTCCGACCATTTAATTAGAGACCCTGTGGAAAGTAATGGTTTTTTGAAAACGTGTTAAACACAGCACGTTATTATTTGAGACGTGTCCGGGCCCCATATGGTAGAGCAACGACCCTTGTGCGCGTAGGTATCAGCGCAAGAATAGGGGAGAGAATAAGAGTGAACGGCTTAGCGAACAACAAAAAAAAAAACTTGCACGCGGAACAACAACTACCAAATTGAAGGGGGTGAAGTTCAATTTCGGGGGAGGCGTGCAGAGGATTAATGCACAGCACAGATTCCCGGGGGGCAAACGCGCATACTCTCTCACGCCTGGCAAATAAATCACAGATTAACTTGACGGTTCGCATTCAAATTTATGCCAATGGATCGGATTGCAAGTGGCTCCGGCAAACGTCGATATTACGAATAAAATAAAAGTTTTATCATTCATACTAATATATAAATCCATTTGGCGGACCATGGAATTTTCTCCAAATAAAAAAATCGTAACGCGTGACCTTTTTTCATGATAAAAATAAATATATTTTTATACAATAATAATATATGAAAGCAATGCCAATTTTCCGAAATTCCCGCGTGTATGACAATTGTCAATATATTATTTATGTACATAAATCTCTGGGGTATGATTAGTGGATTATGATATTAATAATCTGGCATTTTATTGTTTATGTTAAGCAAGTTAAAAAAAATAATGTTTGAAATATTAAAATGCTAATAAATTAATAAATGTTCAGTACTCATATTAAAGTGGCATAGAAATTAAAATACTCAATTATAAATATAAAAAAACACATTGATTACCAATTTTTTTGTGTTATTTCTATCTATTATAATATAACAATTTTCTGCTCCGATACTTAAATAAATCATTCATTTATTTATTTAATTCTAATTAAATCATGAAAATTTAATAATTGACAGATCGATTTTAATTTCAAGCGTTTTGTGTTTTGTGATCAATTCACTTGGGAATACAATTAGTCAGTTCATCTGTTTTTAATAACTATGCAGATGATAAACGTTTCAACAAATAGGAACATTTTTTTGGGGTTATTAAATTTAGTCCACAACGATTATGTAATTTATTCAGCTACCCTTATGCATTATTAAATTTCGATAAAAAATTTTAATACTAGTACTTAATTAAAACAATTTAAATATTATACAAATTATTAAAAAACAATTATCTTAGTTAACTATTGTTATCGATATCACAACTGTATCATTACAACTACTTATAGTTATAATAATACTTATAATAATATTCAAATAACAATTACGTTTTTCTTTAATTCATGAATTTAATTGTAATCCAATTGAAATTAATAATGTAATGTAAGAAAATAGAAAGAATTATAAAAAAAATGCAAAAACTAACTTATTCAAAATTAATATCGACGGAGTTCTGGTAATAAAAAAAAAAATCATTAAAATTTATTAATCGTATTTTTCAGAAACGCTGCACTATATCTATTCAGGCTCGAGTGTTTATGATGTTATTTTGTAAATATTTCAAGTGCAGTAAAACATTTTTTTGCGTAATGTAATGTTAATCTACCGTTCAAAGACGGAACGGTTGAATCTTGATATGTGTGCTAAACAAATATAATTCAGTCTTACTCAGCAAAATATTTTCGATGACTTGTACAACAAAATTACTGTAATTCAATTTTAACGTGAGTATATTATATTACAACTATTTTAGACTATAGTAATTTTAAGAATAATTTCGAGAAGATTCTTTTTGCACTTCAATAACCTAATAATCAGCATTAATAAAAAAAAAAAAACAATTACTAAGAGTAAGTAAGAGTAGGCATGAAGTTTAATTTTATGCAAAATTAGTTATTATGTAAAACATTTAAATGATATTTACACAGATCTCGATTGAAATACATGAAAAGTTCCTATCTTTGTACCTTCGGTAAATTTTGTCAAAATCTATTTTTAACATTTTACCAGTTAAATTATTATTACTTGAACTCTATACTGTCAAGACTTTTTCTTTTGAATATATTGCAATAAAAATTCTTTCAAACACATAGGAATAATTTTAGCTTCAAATAGTTCTGTTAACAAGCTTTCACCAAATGCCAAAAACATGACATAAAATACTCAGTGTTATTTATAATTTAGTTTCGACGTGTACCTGAGTAGGTATTGATTAAACAATGATTTCATTTTCTGAGTATTATAAATTTATTCTAGTAGTTTTTCAAAGTTCAAAAAATGAAAAGTTCTTCTCTTTTACTTTCAAAAACTTTTGCAACTTGTAATATTAAACGTCATAACTTTTTAGAAAACTCTCACGATATATTTTATCGACTATTTTTTATAAATAATGTATAAATAATCTACAAAAAGTATTATAATATTCCGATAGGTACCTAAATAACCAAGAAGTATCATATATTCATGCATATAGATGACTATATGCAAAGTATAATTTTTTTTAAAGTGCAATTTAGCACTTTTAGAAGACAGTTAAATTCATGGTAAGTATATAAGGTACGTTAAGAATACTAAATCATATCTTAGTAATAAAAAGTGTAAGACAAATTCAGCTTCCTTCAGTTTCAAAGAAAACACATGCTGCAAAAACAATTTTTGATTTATAGGATTTAAAAGTGAGCCCAAAATATAAGCAAAATTAAATCTAGTGTTTCCTTTGCTAAAACTATGATCATCTCACGGTGTGTAACAGACTCAAGTCTCAAATTCTCAAGTGAACAAGCATTTATTATAATTATTATTATTATTATTAATACAGTTTGCCGACCGTAGTAATAAAATTTTTAACTTCACGAGAAAAGTCACCAGGTACAAAATTTAATTCACTTTTTTTATATTACAAAAGAAAATAATACCACGAAAGATAACGCACCGTTAAATTTCTAGCAATACTAATAACAAATGAATCATTTGTAAAATTCTTCAATTATAATTATTCAGATAACTACACAGTTGTCAGTTTTTAAAACCAGAAAATATATTATGTATAGTACATAATAAAAAACAAGTTCGTTTGTTAAACTTTAGTTTCTGGTTTCCAGCAATTCAATGTATTATATTTATATATATAATGTACTTTTACACAAAAAACAGCAGATTTTTTAGACATCAGGCACGTATTCACCGAAAACATTTGATAAGGGTGCGTTTTTTATTTTATTTTATTGTATCCTCGTCCTGGTTCTCAAAATGGCGTCAGAATTGTCTACAAGGACCGCAAGGCAGCACGTAAAAAGTCGATTTTATAACATTAAAAATATTTTTCTCTTGGCGAATCTTTTATACGAGCGAAGCGCTTGCAGATCTCTCAATTAATTCATCAACATAGTCAATTACTGTCGCCAGTCTGACGCGACGCCGTTAGCATTTTCCATTAAGTATATCGTTTTAGTGATTATTATTCAGCCCGTTGTAAATGGATCTCAGGGTTCTATTACCGCACTTACACGGGCATATATGATTAATACAATACACCTATTGACTATCACCAGTTTGCAAAACGTTCCATTCGCGACAGAAAAACAGAGGCCCTACACTACCTCGATGACGGCGTTTATTGAAATTAATGTGGTTAATAATATTGCAACCCGGCAAAGGGTGAGCGCATATTGTAGGGAAATAAGCTATTAAGTCCCTGAAAATGAAACAATTAAAATGATTAAATCAATACATTCAGTAAAACTCACCGACCAAGACACAACGACATTCGACGAAGAACGTTTTAAAATTAAACTGAATTTTGTAATAATCTGCAAACAAAAATTAAAATCCACGACAAAAAGATATTTTAATTTCCAAATAAATGATTTTAACTAAATTTAATTTTGAATTCATTTGTAGACATTGAATAGCTCACAATATTTTCATTTCTTTGAAAATAAACAAGTCACTCGCATAAATGAGAACCAAATTTTTTTGTCGGGGGTTTTATGATTTGTAGATCTTAATTGACCTCAGTCATCGTATATTTAACATCAAAAATGAAAAATTGTCAGTTACACTACATTATATCAAAAAATAATAAAATAAAATTAGTGTACTAATTGAATTGGACGAATGATATATGTGTGTATCATTCGTCCAGTTACAAAATGGCTCGAGTCCAAAAAAAAGTTTATTTTGATTTTTCTTGATTCGTCAGAAAATCGAGAAACAAAAAATAATGTCTTGGTATAATGCAACTAGGATCCTTGTGTGAAAATAACATTTTTTTTTAATACGACATAAAAAAGGCGTATTTACAAAAATATAATTTTATTAAGTTATTTGATTGTTCAACTAATCATAAAATGTAACAGGTTATTTCATATAATATTCACCGTCTTAATAAAGTATATTTCCTACAACTTGTACATTATGTAGATTAGTTATAAACAAAATTTGATTTAAAAACAGACCTAAAACAACATAATTATTCATCAAAACTTTTTCAAAGCGAAAAACTTTCTTAAAATAATATCACTGTCCACGTTTAATGGGTACAACTGTGGAAGGACTATAAATTTCTTAAACTTTTCCAGTTTAAACTGATTTTTTCACATTCTTGAGTACGAGAGGAGAACTCTACAGTTTGTTTTACCTTACAGCGCTCTCAAGTGCAATCATTTTTGCCGGATACATTTTTGTATTGCCCGTAATATGAAAGTACACTTGTCGACGACTAGAAGAAATATTTTCTTTCGTCGAAGAATCAAAATAAATGTCACATCATTAAAAGACATTTTCACAGAAATTTAAGTAATAAAAAAAAACCCTAAGCACATGCCATACTCATGTTATATTTTTAAGATACGTCATAAAAGCTTTATTTATTTAATACTTGAATCGACAGAAAAATATTGCGGGCATTTCTTCCGCGTAAAAGCCAAGAAACGGTCTGCAGTCGATAACACAATACACAAGCAAATGGTTTACAAAGTAAATACATCATATTTTCCGACCGGATACCGGAAACTAACACGGGGCGACACGGAAAGGAACTTGTTTTCTGTTGCCGTTTATGGAACACGTCCTCTCGTTTGACTTTTGTATAAGCAAACGCAGTAGTTTGTTGTACACATTCTCAGTAAACACATTCCGAGTGACGGTTAATATAAATCGGTGAAGCATTAGCGTTGTCACTGGCGGTAGCGCAACGGCACCGGTGGACACCAAGTGGTGATGTATGTGATCGTAGGGAGTAGTGTCGGGCGATAGCAACGAAATCGAGTCGAGGTGAGCCACCTCGCCGTGCGCGTGTGACGGCAGAACCGTATGACTTATAAACGCGCGTTTATACATAATTGAAAGAGCCGCTGTTATGGCGGTCACGGGCGCTATAAAATAAACGTTATGGATCTTTATGTGGCGTACACAATACGAGCGGCATTAAACTTCCGACAGTGTGCATTCGATCAAAAATAACTACATCGATAGGCCAGGTATGATATGTGCATTTATCGTGTATGACATAAACACGACATATGCGGCAAGGGAGGGGCGGTGACCTATGGACGGAGTGTGGTGTATTAAAAGGACCGGGCTGGATGCTGCAGTAGCGGCAGCTACCCCAGACGAAAACTCCGTACTAGTTAAAGCCAGATCAATAGGACGTCTCTATGGAGCCCTAAAAAACAGAAAAAGAGTATCTAAGTTATTTATGAAGTCTGGGAATAACCCGATTACTTTACCCTCTCCGATGGGGTATTACGTTATATCAAATTGCTTTTTTCCATCAAACTAATCAACGGCGGAAAACATAATTTTTTGGCTATTAAACACAACAGGAAAATAATTAATTTTCTTTTTTTTTTTTTTGTTATTCTTACGCCGCTGTGGCCTTGCTGTAGTTTCCATTGGAAACATTTTCACCGGCGGTTGATTGATCCCCTCCGCACCTTTTTTATTCGACTAATTCACTCCGTTCGAGTACGTCCCTTTCTACGAGCGGCAGCCGGTGTTGTTTCCGCATAGTTTTCAAACGCACGGGGTAACAACTACGGTAAAGTTATGCAATTCAAACACCCGAGTCGCTAAACTCGGAAATTACTCTAACAATAAAGAATATATTATAACATACTGACATGTGTGTGCGCGCGTGTGTGTGAACGCGTTAGTCACTCAGCTAGTGAACGCGGCGAGATCACGTGGTGTTGGTTAACGACTCGTAAATAATAATAGAGATCTGAGAACAACCCGAAACTATATAGTGCAGTCTATTATCCGATGTGACGACGGTGTTGTCTGATACAATATTTAGCTGCACAATAATAATAGTGCACAAATGGCGGTGTTGCGATCACGAGTGGGCGCGGGGCAGCACGCTGGAGGGTCCGAAGTGTCGTCACATACCGCATTGTGTTGTAATACTACCGACGGTTTTGTTTGGTTTGCCGAACGATTTTCAGTTTAACCAAACAACCGACTAATTGGTTAAAATGCGTGAAAATATGGAATCCAATTAGCTGACATTGTCGTGTTACTTGATTCGCGATAAATATTCACAACTACCACAATTAGTAATATTTCTCGCGGTTCAAACTTCGAGCCGGATAATTCACAAAACGGTCCGTACGCGGTAAAGTGGATAGAAACGATTACAGTAAATAACAATTAACAAAATCAACGGCTGGTGCTAGAAATGATTACTCGCGTGTGTATGTTACAACACTGCCATAAATAATTCAATAATAAATGTTTGCATGAACAAAGCGTAAATTATTAAAAATTAAAGCCGTACACATCATAACGCCGTATGTGCACGTTTTCTGTTTTTAATCAGATGTAATCAAATTGTGACGTACCTATACGACACCAACACTGTAGCTCATGTTATTATGACTTGCACACTGTGCGCACGACCCTTTTATTTTACGCTACGACTCCAACGTCTATATTTTAGTGTTTAATATATTCAACCGAATAAAATACAAAATGGCTCTGCACGTTTGTAATTGCACGTGTACGCAGAGGGAAGATAATTGCCAGTAGTCGGCACTTGGCCTTATTACGAACTATAATAAGAGATCATATTGCTGACGTCCGTGCGCACCCAATGCGATATCACGAAAAACACTACATAGAAATGCACGAGAACTCGTATGAACGTTTTTTTTTTTTTTTTGCAACGCAATACGTTGCAATGATTAAGCAGATGAATATTCTATTTCAAAAATCGTATCAGAATTGATATTGTTCGTGCGACTGTTAGCCGCCTTTTCTCATACGCACTCTGTTTGGGGTAGGGCGGCGAGCTGAACACATATAATACTGTATAATGTACACCGTAAGACAATATAAAGCTGCTAACTCAGCAGTGAATTCACCAATGAGTTCAACGACACGTGCAAATCGCGTAAGTTCAGAAACCGCGTTACAAATTTACTTACCTCAAATTGACTTTTAAAAAAAACTTACACGCGCTTTTTATGGGTCGTGTTGTACCTCCGCCCGTCTCGCTCATCTCAAACGTTCAAACTTGGCTACACAGACGTCGATGAGTCATTGCCACACGACTTGCACTTCCGAACAACGACGCTCTCTCTATGTAATAAATTACCAACCATCAGTCAATCATTTTATAAAATGCTTTCAGATAAGGACATAACCCGACGCCTACTAAAACAGACACATTGAAGATTTACAACACATTTACTCGTGAAAACCTGAGGTCCTTGCGGTATAAAAAGGCTTTGATTGTGAATTACATCACCACGCGTTGCAGCAATATGCATATATACATGTGCCCGCACAACAGAACGGGGAGATCGATGACGAAACGAACAGTGTTGTTAACAAGCGATATACCAGAGGGTGTGTCACGAAACACAAAACGAAGAGCAAAATTAAGGAGGGTTAGTCCCACAGAACAGAAGCGAAAGCTCATAATTACTTTTACTCTTTTTATGAACGACCGTGTAAGACTATAGTTGTATATTTGGCGATAACAGCTTGTTGTAATGACACCCATATCAAGATTCTATTTAAGGTTTCATTGACTGTTATCAGAGTTCCAATATTGCAGTCATGTAAAATGACCTTGCGCAGTCGATTTTTTTTAACGATTTTTATTACTTATCGAATTCTCATATAATAAGATTATCAAAAAGAACACCCTAAAAGAAGCAGGAATAAGACATAATTTATATCATCTTTTAATTTAATACTTTGTCCGTTTTGTATGTATTTTTATTCTCACAAATCGATCATTATTTTAAGGATTTTTATACACACGGCACCGAAGTTTAGATGTTTCTAGTTCTTATTTGGAGGCCTTGAAGAACGATATTCGATGTAATAAGTATTAAATTACAATTAGACCATATTTTACTACAAACGATAATGGTGTCTGGTATGCTAAGATATATTGTGTGTTACAAGTTGAATGAAAACGTTATCANAAATTACAATTAGACCATATTTTACTACAAACGATAATGGTGTCTGGTATGCTAAGATATATTGTGTGTTACAAGTTGAATGATAACGTTTTCATTCAACTTNATTGTGTGTTACAAGTTGAATGAAAACGTTATCAGTAATTAATTTATTAGTAAAAAATTTCCAGACAAATTATAATACACGTTACGGCTAATTTTATATAGATTAAAAAATAATAATATTCCATATTGCCCAAGACCTATGTTTCGAATTCTATTAGTAGTAAACATTTTCGACTAATTATATGCTAAACTTAATAATAAGGGTCACGGTTAATTGTTAGGGAATGGTTATGCGCCTGCTCGGAGCGAAGCCCTTCAATTACTAGATAGTAAACGCATATTTGTATAATAATTCAGAAATTCTATTTCAACATTCTTGGCGTGCTATTGTTACTTATATGGATATTGAAACTTTGAAATACCAATGGCAAAATTTCTAACATCAAATTTATTTAAGTTCTATGTATTTAATATTGTAAAGTATTAATGTAGCATTGCTTTATAATAGTCATATCCCTAATAACATTTTTTTTTTAATAATATAATAATAATGTTTTATAACATTATTTTTTAAAATTGCTCTATGC